GAAAATAATTTTAAGAACATTCTTCTGTCCTGCCCTTAAAAGATTAGTAAGTCATTAGCAGTCGACAACTGAGAAAAGCAGCTTTAATGCACTGCGTAAAAATATAAAGACGAAAGGATGCATCTTTTAGGCAATGTATCTCAAAATGTTTTATGCCCGCTTCTTAGTCAGTATATAAACTATTTGGCTTATTTTAGAATATTTATATGAACGAAGGCAGTAATTAGTAGGTTTAAATCAGGTCGCTTACAATTTTTTAAGTTTTTTTCTAACAAACACGTTTTCGTAGCGTCGAGACAGGAAATTGGTCTACAAAAAAATGTAAGTGTTTTGCGTCAAAAATATTTGTAAAAATTAAGGTTTCTATTACTTTTATACCTGTCGTCATTGCTTACTGTTTTCCCGATGCAAAAGTGCTTCCATTTTTGTCATTTAAACTGTTATCAAAACTTTTTGTCAAAAGCTCGATTAGTACCATATAATACTGTCGTTTCTTTCTCAGCTTTTAAAAAAATGCAAAAATCTGTTGCGAACTTGGTTGTATTTGTAATTAGAAAGTTATTTTTAACTAACTTTCAAGAAAGCTTATTAGTGGTTAAGCAAAGAAGAAAGTACATTGAAAAGCAGAAATACTTTAATTTTCTTGGCTGTTATCTGCTTTGACAGTGGTTTATTTTTTATGTAAAGAAACCAAAAATTGTACTACAAATTGTTGTGTTTGGCGTAGCAAAGTCTGAAAGTTTCGTCAGCATAGACGGTTTTCTAGTTGCAAAAAAACGTTGCTACGGGTGTCAGCGAGTTCAGCTGCAGTTCGTTTTTGAAAATGACGGTTACAATTTATATAACAACTCCTTGTTATAAAAATTTTTGAGGAAAATACAACAAAACTAGGCTTTTATTGAACTTACTGATTATAATTTGGTCGAATTTGGCTTAAAAATTTTGTTTGAATAAAGTCTGATGCAATGAAACACGAAGTACAACAAGGATAAACAGCAGAACTATGGCACAAGATTTAAATTATGTGTCACTTTAGATTTTTTCTTTTAATCAAAAAATTTTAAATTCTTGATACTCCTAAAGTTGTTGTTTAAGTAAATTGTGCAGTATAACTCTCCATAAAAACTTCAGCTGTAGTCTAGCACAAATTTTGGATTTCTTTACGTTAAAGATATGACCGAATATATTACTTAGGAATTCACCTAATTGTTACTTAGAAATTCACTTCCACCTAATTGTTTCCATTTATTAGTTTGAGATCGAACGGCATAACCATAATAAAAATTTGTGTAAATTAGCAAATTACACCGATTCTAATCACAACTTATTAACAGTATTATAACAGAAATTCTATTAGTAACGGTAAGAATAGTGAAAAATAATGAGAATAATAGCGATAATAATAGAGATAATAACTGATAATAATAACATATCAACAACAATAATAGCGAACATTCAACAGGTATTTATCACAATCAGAAACTGCTTTTGCTTTATTATCACTTTTTAAAGTATCTTTATTTATGTATTTATCCATTTCTTTAATTTTTATGACAGTAACGATTTAAACTTAACAATTTTCGCATGTCGTATTATGTCATTTTTTATCAAACAAATTACAATTTTTTGTGTGAGTAATTGTCCTCTTTTTTTTTTCTGTTGTTTTTTGTAAGGTTAACAAAACAGTAAGCTTTTAAATTAGTACAAAAAACTGAAAAAAATTAAATTTGTACCCAAGAAAAAGAAGTAATGAGAAAAAACTGACTAAGTAAGCTGCCAAATAATTCTGCTAAAAATAACTCTTTTTTTTTTTTTTTTTTTTT